TCAGCTTGGGTCGTGATCCCGGGGTCCTGGGATCAAGCCCTGCATTAGGCTCCCTGCTCAGCGGAGAGCCTACTTCTCCCTCTCCCTTTGCCCCTGCTCGTTTGCTCTCTCACTCACTCTCTCTCAAATAAATAAAATGGTAAAAAAGAAAAAAAAAAAGACTCATGAAGAACTACACTTGTGGTAACATAGCTTAATGTATAAACTTGTTGAATTACTGTGTTGTACACCTCAAACTAATATAACATTGTCAACTATACTCAGATAAAAAAAACATGAGTTAGAGAAAATATATTTGCAGTACTCTATTGTACTTATTTAAAAAAATTACAGATATAAGTGGATCTGTGCAGTTCAAACCCCTTGATGTTCAAGGGTCAACCGTATTACTAATTAGTTTAAACTTAACATAGCATTTTTTGCTTAAGTCAACTTTTTATTGAATTATAATAGTGCACAAATTGCATGTACAGCCTGGAGAATTTTCACAAAAGGGAAACACCTGTGTATTGGCACCCAGAATAAGAAACAACTCAAGAACTGCCCTTACCCATTATATTCTTTTCTAATACTAAATCACTATTTCTGTTGATCAATTTTGCTTGCATTTGAACTTTAATAAATGAAATCATACAGTATGTATTTTTTAAGGTCTGCCTTCTTTTGTTTAACATTATGATTATGAAATTCATCCCTGTTGTGGCATATAGAAATAGTTTATTTCACTGTTAACAAAGATGGATTGTTTCAGATCCCCTTTGGTAGTTTAGCCATATTTGGATTAATTATGCATGTGCATTTTGAAGTTTTTTGATTTGCTAACCTTGTTGCATATTTGGTCCCTGTACTCCATCAGTGTTTCAGTTTAACCATTTATAACTACAAGACAGTCTTTGCAGGGTATTTTTAAAGTAGCTTAATCCGCTCATTTCATGCTTAACTCAAGAGTCTCTAGATGGTATTCTTCTCACATGTTGATAATTGTTTTTTGGGTTATTGCTGGTTTACAAGTAGTGTTTTTCATTTAAATCAGCTGTCAGATCAGTAGAACTCTATTTTTCTCCTTTAGCCCTGGTTTCCTGAGGTTCGTGAGGGTTTTGTGTGGCATGTCTTCAGATGAAAGGAAAGCATTCCTGCAGTTTACCACTGGTTGCTCAACTCTACCCCCAGGTGGACTGGCTAATCTGCATCCCAGGCTCACAGTTGTACGCAAGGTACAAACCTTAGCTAATAGGGAATCCAAACGGAATTCAGTTACTACAGGATTGAAAGAAATAAATATTTAAAGTCATGGCCTTCTGTTTTTCACTTTTCTTTTTCTAGGTTGATGCTACTGATGCAAGCTATCCATCAGTGAATACATGTGTGCATTATCTAAAGTTGCCTGAATATTCTTCGGAGGAGATCATGAGAGAGCGCCTACTAGCTGCTACCATGGAGAAAGGCTTTCATCTCAACTGAGCTTCGAAGTGGGAGACATCGGAGACTTTTAAAATACTAGTGAAGCCTCTTGTGTTTGTGTGCAGAGAAGTATATGATCCTCTACGCTAATGACACTTGCCTTTATTTCAACCATTAAGGCTTTAAGAACATGTGGAATAAGTTGGTTAGCTGCTAATGACAAAACAAATCCTTTAACTACCCAGCCAGAAAGTATATAGCACAGAACAGTGTGTTGCTACAAGGGCTTAGTGACTGGAAAAAGGTGGTCCCTACTTGACTGTTCCAAAGAGCAGCTTCTCAGATCTTCAGTGTTCACCGGTAAATTTCTAACAGTGTATTTGTGTAAAGTTTGTCGTTTCATACTTCATACACTACAGTTGCCGTCACTGATCCCTGTTTTGCTGGCTTTTAAGCTACTCGGTCAAAAATCCTGCTTCCTTAAAACATAGAGAGTTAATGAGCATCTCAAGCCTTTTCTTTTCCTTTTTAATGATGCCTGCACTATCAGAGTATTCTAGTGTTCTCTCTTTTGTTTGGCATATAATCATGCACAACCTTTTTATTTCTTTGAGGTGGGAGTATATTTTTATTTCCTAAATGCCGTACTATAAAGATCAAATTCTTAAGTGTGTTTGTGCAGCTAAGAAGTAAAGATATATTAAGGGGAAAAAAGAAAAAACACTGGTCTAGATGCAAGGCACACTTAAAAGCAAGTTTTACTTTTGGTTGTATTTTCTTTGTATATTATAAACATTTATTTAACTTGTTGCAGTTTGAAGTAAAAAATTTCCAAAATGTATGCTCAACAATAATCATTAAAATGTTTGCAGCGTACAAAACTGTGTCACGTGACTATTTCACTGCAACGAGCAGACCTAAGAGCTTAACCAGATATTTTTTATTTTGAATCACTGAGATTTAGTTTTTTGAAATTACTACATTTAGAAATGTATTTTTCTATAGTAAATACACTTACTGAAACTGGAAAGCTAGAAGAAATATATGTTCACATGCTTGTGATCCAACTGTTGTGTGTTGTCTTAAAGTATTCTTTAGCTAAGAATGGCCAAGTTATTTGTGTTAACTTTTTCAACACCAGATCTGCTCCTTACCTTTGTATCTGCAGGGATGTGTAAGTCTAAGATCCAAGAATGATTTCTCAATGTTGTGTTAGTGTGAAAAGAAACCACCAGGATACTGCCATTTCCTGGTTTTGAAAAGGGCTTCTTCTGTTTCAGTTTTCCAGATTCCCTTGATGTATCACATCTGTGCCCTTAGGTGAAAGAAATGTCACTAGGCCTGATTTAGCCAAATGGCTTTTTTAGGAGTGAAAAGCATTTTTTGGAATTGCCTATTATTTACCTGTTTAAAAGGTACATTCCCTTTCTACATTAGAAGAGAGATCTCCCACTATAGTCAATCGTTTGAGTACTGTTTTTATTCTCTGCATGAGAATGTTGTGACATGTTATCAGTGGCAGCATTTAAATAATTCATCTTGTTGTTAGTTTCACAGTTCTCTGTGAGAATAAAAGTTAAAATAAAACATAATAGCAATATTTAAATGTATGACCTATGCTTCAATCCAAAAAAATAGTGGTGGTGATTGTCTCAATAAAGTCATGGATGCATGACTAAAACTTCATACTAGTGTTAGAGTTAAAATCCAATTTATGTGCTTAGTATTGCCATTTATCTAAGTCTGTAAAATGTCTGTCAATACCCAGCTTTTATCAAGACTAATCTAGCACAGGGCTCAGCAAACGATGGCCTGCTGCTTGCTTTTGTATTGCCCACGTGCTAAGCATGGTTTTGAAATTTTTAAGTGGTTAAAAAGCAAAAAGAATAATATTTTATGATGTGGAAATTTTATGAAATTCAAATTTCAGTGTCCATAAATAAAGTTTTATTAGAACACAGCCATGCTCATTCCTTTATGTACTATCTGGGGTGTTTTTACACTACAGTGGCAGAACTGAGTGTTTACAGCAGAGACCATATGGCCCATGAGCCTAAAGTATTTACTATCTGGCCCTTTACAGAAGAGGTTTGCTGAATCCTGGTCTAGCATGTTGCTGTAGCAGGTAAAATTGATGAGTCTTATACATTCAGTAAATGAAATGTCAGGCGTCTTCAAGATAAAGCTGACCAGTCTGAGGCATAAATTTCATGAGTGTGAAAATCACAACGCTGTTCACCGCAATTCAGCAGTAAACATGAAAGGAAATTATGACACAGCCTAGAAGAACAGATTGTCCTATTACAGTTCACTTTGCATGAGTCAAGTGTTAGGAGACCTCTACTAGGGTCTCCACATGTATTAGGTTATTCGGCTTTCTTTCCTGTGGTATCTACCTAGTATTTTTTTTTTTTTTTTTTTTTGTTTTTCTCTAAAGGTACTAAAATCTGTGCCAAGATGTTACCCAAGTGCTATTTTGGTGTGACCTAAAAATTAATTTTGTTCACTCCCTAGTTACTTCTGGTGTACCAGTTTCAGCAGTTACCTGAATGTGCTACTGATTAAGTGCCTACCAACTAGGACAGTGTTTCCCAACTAATATGTCTTAGACCTCCAAAGCACTTTGATCTAGACTGGGCTTTCCCCAAACACCTTGGCTACTAATGCAAAGGGGGATCTATACACATGTACCATTTGCTGTTCTGGCGGTCAGAAGCCTTTCTTCTGCCTTTCTGAATGAGTCCAACTCAGGTTTGCTTTTCGAATCCATTATTGCCTAGTTGCCTGGGTCTTAATAGATGCAAACTTTAAATGTGTAAGTAGATTTTTAGAAAGAAAGATTTAAAAGAAATCCTTCCCCCACCCCCACAAAAAAGCAAACAGTACTGAATGAATCATCAATACCTGGAATGTCCATTTATGTTTTCTTTTGGAGGACAGAGTGTTGTAGATGAAAGAACTCTTGGAATTCCATAGGATGGGACAATATCTTAATGTACCAAGACTGTATTTCTATTTCTTCCATTTTATCTGCCTTCCTACCCAATATGCACATAAACATGCTTTTATACCTAAGACAGTTCTGTATACTCCTGTTGATAAGTAGCAAAAGCATCTAGAAAAGTTTGGAAGGATCAGGCAGGTCATTGCTTTTTTATAGTGACTTCGTTTTCTTTGCTTCAAGACATTCCAGGAGAAGGGGTCAAAGGAATGAGTTAGGGAAGCAGGGGAGAACTCAGATTCATATCATGCTGACCTCAACAGAGATATTCTCTTGCATTCTATTTTTAGACTTTGAACTAAATTTTCATTTACAAATAAGTTTACTAATAAGACAAACCATTTACAATATGGCCTAAAGGATGGTTGTAAGAGCTCTCTTTTAATGTGTAACCATTCATTTTTGGTAGTAACATTATAAGTGAATTAATTACATGATGACATTGTAATTGCCAAGTGCCAATAAAACAGTTATCAGGCTTTTAGAAACTGCCAAATAAAATTTAATTCTCAATTTTTATTAGGTACACAATTTTGTAAAGTTTTGACTTTCTAAATCATTTTAAGGAAAACGAGCATTCAGAAAACATTCAAAGTACTATGTGTGTTTAAAATTTTATTGGCTGATAATTGTCACAGGTCTTCCCATGCTGCTAATCCTGAATTAAATGTGCATAGGAAAGCAGAGAACAAAAGTTACCTTCAGAACTCAACAAAATTTGAACAAGTGGGGAAAAAATGCTTATGGTTAGAAAACAAAACTGTCTCGCAGTTCAGAGAAAATATTTCTTTGAATACCATATTTAAAAATAAAGCTTTGTTTTCCATTTAGGAAATGTGGAAAACACCTATTTAAAATGTCTTTGGAAGGACACCCCATTTTGCAATGTGCAGTCTTCCACATTTTTTGGGCTACAGATGTTGAGAGGTATTCCATGGTATTCTCACTTCTACAGGTTGATGTTGTCTGGCAGAGCCTTCCATCATTCAGCTTTCTGACATTTTATCGAGAATGAGTAGAGGGGCAAGAATTCTTGCCCGATTCGTTTCCACAATGCAGCCATTTAACACCATCTCATCCAAAATGATGTGCACTTTATCCAAATTAAACATTATCTAAGTTCATATTAAGGAAATTAGTTTTAGAGTTACAAAAATGTTAACATGTAACAGTAAGTAATAACTTACAACTTAGCCTATAATTTTTCCCATGTAAATTAGTCTAAGCATGAAGTGTGTTTTTTTTTTTTTACAGAACTTCTGAAATTAGATTTAAAATTGGTGTCCATGTTAGGAATTATTACCTTCATATCCACATTCACACCTAGTTTCACCTTGGTTAAGCTCACTGGCCAATAGGCATAGAAACAGAATAGCTACTACAACTTCATAGAAACAGAATAGCTACTACAACTTTTAGCCAGAGGGAAAGTGACTCTACTAAGAACTAGAGAACAAAGCAAGTGACATTGGCAAGAGCATGACTGGACAAGAGCAGTGTTGTTTTCCCCAGACACTAATAACATCAACACTAATATACACGGTGTTCCAGGCATGGTGTTGAGTGTTTTACATAATTTTTTCAGTCTTCTCTACAACCCTACGATACAAATGTTACATATTATCCTAATTTTACATGAGAGCAAATAGGCTCAAAGCCATTGTCCAAGGTCACATGGCTGGTAATTGCCAGAGATGGAATTTAAGCCCACAGCTTTGGTTTGATAGTTCTACTTCCAGACTTCTCAGGAGGGGCCTGTGGCTACTGAGTATACACCCTCCCTCAGCCCTCAAACCTCACCCCAAACCAAATGCCTTCACAAAACCTCACGTCTTAAGCTCTCTTTTCTCTCAGGACTGAAGAAAAAATCACCAAGAGTAGATATGAATGAAGAAGGCAAGACAATGCTAATTCCCAAGTAGATAAAAATTCTGAAATTCATGAGAATATCTCGCATGAATGAACAGTTCTAAAAATACTCCTTTGAGAATTATGGAGCCACTTGAGGGTACTGATGTTCCTAGTGGAAAGTTAGTATAGGATATGGGGGAGACAAAAATGTTAGCCTGTGAGGTCTTGCTAATTGGAAAAAGCCAAATTCTTTCCCCCCAGGAGCCCCTTCAGGAAACTTTTCTTTTGTGAAAGGAGAAGGGGAACTAGAATGAGATGATGACAATATTGAATGGTTCTGAATTCTACACTTTAATAGCTTATTTTCATCTCTATTTAAAGAACATGATCCTGGTCTGTTTAAAAAAAAACAAAACAGCTGATTGAAGCAGATGGTTTCAAATAGACAAACTTCAACAAATGAGTGACTTAAATGCACTAGGGGAGTTCATAATTAGTGAATCTTTGTAAAGTGAATCGTTACCACCTGATTTTTTTCAATAATTCCAGATGTTCAAGTCTGTATTGTATTTTAGTGAAATACCTCTGTAGAAAATGAGACAACCCTGTGAACGACTTTTAGGTTTCTCTTAGGCTCTGCATTAATATCTCATTAAGCTCTGTGCAAAGAGTCCTCTAGCAGAATAAACTGTTTTTCAGGAGCCCATGGGAACTATCCTTAAATGACCCAGAAAAGAAAAAAAAAAGCTTTACTCTGATAAACCTATTAATAATGTCTTCCAATTATATAGATGATTGCTTTGTCCATGACCAAACTGGGACTGGAATATTAGGCCCTTGACTCAATCAGACCCAGAAGCCAGAACTCAGAAGCCAGACAAAGTGGAAATGTCAGCTGGGTACAAAGAAGCGGAGTTGGGGAGCATAGGTGGCTGTGTGAAAAATGGCCTTCATATGAGAATTTGCTGCTGAATCATATCAACCACTGACATCCTTGCATCGTTAAGGACAAGGTCTTTCAGCAAGTCTGAATTTCCCAACATCCTAGAAACATGAGTTGCTCAGTGAGGTCATTCTGTACTGTGGGCATGTGACTGCCTGTCTTATCTGAGTAGCTGATTCAAGCCCTTAATAACCACGTGGCTTTCTGGCACTATATGGGGAAACCACAGACCAAATCCAATGTGAGGCAAAGGCCTGAAAGATGATTTCCCCCTGGAATCATGTGACTCCTTTAAAATAAGAATCCAGCTGTTGTTTACATCTTGATTTGGTTTATAAGCAACTTGTACACACTAGTGAAGCCAAGAGTAATGGCATTTGGGATACATGTCAGGGACCAAAAAAATGCCTTATATGCAAAGCCCCATGGCAATAAACAGGCAAACATGCTTCAGCCCTGACATCTGGAATAGGATGAAGCAAGAAAGGTCCAGGCTATTTGTCTATTACTGTAGTAAGCTGAGAATGACTATTTCAAGAGGGTCCTACCTTTGGGTTGTACTTAACTTGACTGACTTAAAGATCCCTAGGGCAACTTGAGCACCCTAAGGTTGGAACTGATAGGAACTACAGACAGCCTCCCAAAGAGCAGATTCAGAAAGCCCCATTTTCTCCCAATCCTGAAACCCAAGAGCCTTTCTGAATTACTATGTAATGTGGGTTGAAGTTGAACATAGTGCCACTTGAAACCAGTTTTTTAATAAAGCGCTTGAAATGTTTCTGGTTCCTACATTGGAATTTTGGTCTCTGGATCATAAATCACTTTTTCAATATGGTATTTTAGTATCACTGTGGTGGTCTAGTTATCCTTTCAAAAGAGAAAATTGAGCAGCATATATTCGAATGGGACCTGAAAAGCAATTCCCAGGCAGAGCCCAGCCTAGAAACTAAAATTTCTAATTCGAGATTTTGGTCTCAGATCCCTTGTCTTCTTTTTTTATTTATTTTTCTTTTTTAAGATCCTACCTAAGCAAAGTTCTTGATAAACTAATTGGGGTGGGGAAAAACTTGCTCTCATATTTATACTTTAATTCAATTTGCTATGAAATTAGATAAACTGTGAAGGGCCTTTGTGTTCACATTTCCCACAGAAAAGGGACTACTGTATAGAAGACTATCTTCATGAAGATCATGCACAGGACTGGGTATACTCCTTACAATACAGTCTGCTGTCCACTTTTAGGCTTGGTATTGTTCCTTGTTAATTAGGCCACTGAAAAGGAGTTTATCTTTTTTTTTTTTTAATGGGTTTTTCCTTAAAGGCCCATTCATATTCTGAGATCAACAAGAAAGCCAGGTGTAATTATTTTAAGTTTGTATAGATTTATGTAAAATTACACAAATATGAAAGCATTGGGTCAAATGAGCCTGTCAGTTTCTTTGGTTTTTCTCCTAACTCTGTTGCTTCTCCTAACTTGCTGTCATTATTCCTGAGTAAAACAAACAGAACCTGGAAGCATGAAGCGAAAGGAGTGGGGGTAAGGCAGACGGACCTGGCGGGGGGAGGGGTAGTAGCGGAAGCAAATGGCACCTACAGGACGCAGTTCAAGGAAATACGGAGACAGCAAAGGCCAGTGAGAACCAGAGAAGCCCGGAAAGCAGAACTGTTCAATCTGGAACCTTCACACCCCATTCCCAGGTAAATGGCTGACTCCCTTGGGGACTGTTCATAATTCTGACTCTTCACTCATGACAGCACTGACTGCAGTTCTCATGCTGAGATGGTTTTAGCCTCCTTGCTTCTCAGTGCCTGCCCTTCCCAAAGACTGGCCAAGCTGCATGGGCCAGCCCTCACGCTCTGTAGCCCTGCTTTCAATTTACATATTTTAAAAAGAAAGAAAAAAAAAGATGTTTAGAAATTACTAAATGTGGGGGTGCCTGGGTGGCTTAGTCAGTTGGGTGTCCGACTCTTGATCTCAGCTCAGGTCTTGATCTCAGGGTCATGAGTTCAAGCCCAGCATTGAGCATGGAGCCTACTTGAAAAAAAAAATCACGAAATGTGAACTCCCATTTTGGAGAGCATGCTCTTTTTTTTTTTTTTTTTAAGATTTTATTTATTTATTTGACAGAGACAGTGAGAGCAGGAACACAAGCAGGGGGAGTGGGAGAGGGAGAAGCAGGCTTCCCACGGGAGCAGGGAGCACGACTCCGGGCTCGATCCCAGGACCCTGGGATCATGACCTAAGCCTAAGGCAGACACTTAACGACTGAGCCACCCAGGCGCCCCTGGATAGTGTGCTCTTATCAAGACATTCAGATACTCTCTTTCATCATATCTGACTCCTCCAACCAAAGTCTAGTGTTTCTTCAAAACTTCTTTCCTACTTCAGGAAAAACTTTGACAACACCAAGATAGCACAGTGACAGGCACTTTACAAATGTTTTGTTAGAAACTAAACTGCCACAATCTATTCCAGATAATAACACATTTTTTAAAAACGTGTCAGATTTAATCTTATCTAACTTTATTTTTTTTAAGGATTTTATTTGACACAGAGAGAGAGAGCACAAGCAGAGGCAGTGGCAGGCAGAGGGAGAGGCAGGCTCCCCACTGAACCACCCAGGACCCCTACTATATCTAATCTTATAGCCCTGGAAACCTAGAGACTGGTACCAGCTCTGCCCCAATGTAGCTCTATAGCTTGGGACACGTCACAAAACCTCTCTGGGCTTCAGCCTTTTCATCTAAAACATGAGGTTTTAACCTGATGATGGTGTAGTTTTCTTCTAGCTCCAAAGTACTCAAATCCTAGGACTCTAAAAGTAACTTTCAGGGAGACGGGAGCTAGTTTACTCCTCTGACATTATCAAGTCATTCCTGAGGTAATCACATACTCTATCATACCTCATAAGAAATCCTTTGGTAATGACTTAATTATTGTAAACTTTCTGAGAGAACATGGAGACAATTCCAGTTTATTTAGAAGCTACCACTTTGGTGTTAGATGGCTTCCCTGGAGAACTTCTTTGTTCTTCTTGCCAGTATTTCCATAGCCCCTAGTTGAACAAGTACTTTTGTGATTTCTCATGAAGTCAGTGTGAAGTTAGCTCCTATTCAGAGAAGACCTAGTCTGGTTTCTGGACCTTTAAGGTGTTTGGGATTTTAGGAAAGTAATGATGGAAGGAGAGGCTGATGCCCCACGGTGGGCTCTGGGTCCTGAGAAGGGCCTGACTGCAAATCTCGGTGGTGCTGAATACTGTTGCCTGGGTGCCTTCATCCCTCCAGAGGGCACCATGGAAGACAACTAGCTGAGTCACGGCGTGCAAGCAGCAGCGGAGGCCCTTCCTTCTCCCCTACCTTCAACTACAGTAAAGAGGTACTTTCTCATCACCCACATGAGCTTTAACGTTCTAGAACTAATTGCTCAGGCTTTTGGGTTTTAAGGACTTAGATAATAAAAACATGAATGTTCTAAAGATTTATTTAAAAGATTCTGGAATCAAGAAAACATTCTGGATTCTAGGCCTACCCTATATTTGTGGGGTCAGTGGCCCTGGAATATAAAGAGGGATTCTAGCCTGTTCCCCACTTTTTCCCTCGTGTGTGTATGTGGGCTACCATCCCAGGCTCTCTGTCATTCCTGCCCCCAGTCATGGGGAGAGGTCTGTACAAGCCCTACCTAGCAATACCCCCTGGTATATGGGCACCCAGTGAGTTCTGGGGACTCAGGTAGCTGGAGGATGGTCAAGAAGTGGATTGGGTCCGGGCGCCTGGGTGACTCAGTTGTTGAGCATCTGCCTTCGGCTCAGGTCATGATCCCGGGGTCCTGGGATCGAGCCCCTCATCGGGCTCCCTGCTCAGCGGGAAGCCTGCTTTTCCCTCTCCCACTGCCCCTGCTTGTGTTCCCCCTCTCGTTTTGTCTCTCTCTGTCAAATAAATAAATAAAATCTTAAAAAAAAAAAGAAGTGGATTGGGTCCCTACAGGCTCTGAATAAGCATCCTCATCCCATGGAGAGGGATACTGCTGAAAGAGAGCCAGATGAGGCCCCCTCTGGCCCAGGGCCCAGGAAAGGGATCCTGGTTGTCCAAATCTAAAGGTAGTACTGCTACATTCCACTCTAACCCCAATAAACCAAGTCTTTAAGCCACTTTAAAAGCACCAAACACCAAAAAGGCAGTTAAGGTTTTCTGTACATTCACACATTAGTAGTTGTGCCCTGAACGGAGGACGAGGCGGACATCTCCCCCACAGCGCTGTTCACTGGCGCCAGTCCCCTGAATATTTAGCAGAGGGGGTAGAGACAGCTCCTTTGAATTATGAATTGTCTGGAGAATACAGCACATTTGGGGTTACAGAGCTGAACACATTTTGGGAAGCTCATTAGTTGATTCCTAAAAACCATCTTAATTCATAGAATTTGAAGGTTTTTTTTTTTAGATTTTTAAAAAATTATTAAAGTACAGTCTACCCCCCAACATGGGGCTCAAACTCACGATCTCAAGATCAAGAGTTACATGCTCTAAAGACTGAGCCAGCCAGGCACCCCCAGAACTTGAAATCTTAAATATGTCTACTAAAGTATGTGATAGGGCAAACTTTCCCGATAGAAGCAGGGCCTCAGGGGTCCTCAGGCAACATTTCAGCCCAGTGAGTAGAGCAGAATGTGAATAGTGTACTTATGCAGGGCACGTGAAGGATTTAGGTCACTGACATGCTTGGTCCCAAGGGTCTGCCCCAACCTGACACTAACAGCAACACAGAGTTGCCACTTAGTAGAAGTGCTTTCAAGAAGCCAGAATTTCTGTCCTAATTTCTTGTGCTTGGGTCATTTCTTTTCTTTCTTTCTTTTTTTTTTTAAGATTTACTTATTTATTCTAGAGAGAAAGAGAATGAGCGTGGGAGGAGGGGCAGAACGGGAGAGAGATGGGAAGCGGACTCCCCGCTGAGCGCGGAGCCCGATGCAATGTGGGTTTCGGACATCATGACCGGAGCTGAAACCAAGCGTTGGACACTACTTAACCAGCTGGGCCACCCAGGCACCCCAGGTCACTCCCTTTTAAAATCCCATCTGTCTTGCTCTGTGATGTCAGTCTTACTAGCAGTAGAACAAGCCCATTCTAAGCACCTGTAGATAAATGGTGCATTTTATTTCTCAAAGTCTAGCCATGTGGACTCTGCAAAGCTGCCCCATTCTCAGAACGCTTCAGGGGAGTGAAGCTTCTGGAGAAATAGATGGCAAGTAAAGGGCTTCTTGGGAATTCCATGAGGTTTTGACTTCCATTCTCCTGGTGCTGCACCAAAGCCAAGCCTTTGAGCGTGTCTATTCCATGTGGGCGGACAAGGAAGGCTTTCTTAAGCCTGAGCAAACACAAGGATAGGTGTAGTGAGTGTTGGGAGAACCAGCTCCAGGTTGCAACTCTATCAGCTGCTTGTTTTCAGCCTTTCAAGGCCGGAGGAAGCTTCCCTGGCCTCGCAGCCCTGACCAATGTTAGCTGCTTCAGCAGCGCTGGGCACGTGCTCCCAGGGCGGTGATATGGAGCATCTCTGGCCCTACACAGAGGGGGCGGGAAACTGAGGCTGCACCTCTAAAAGGCTCCCTTGCCTTACTGTTACGAAATTGGTATAGAGAGGTCCTTCCCAGACATGTGATAGTTAGAATTATGCATGAGGCAGAGTAAAGGCATGGGTTTTAATTGGATCGTTTTCAGATGGCTAAGCGTGGAAACATTTTAAGAATGTTAATGGAAGCGAGGGTACCCCGCAGCCTACCTGCCCCACCTGCTCCACTTTTAGGCCACTGGAGGTCCAAGTGAAATTTTGCCTAGAGCAAAGGCTTACACTTCCAGGTCTGGGCAGAATCAGTTCCCCTCTCTAAATGAAGCAAAATTCTTAATCTGTCAGGTGGATACACCTAAGTAATTCCGAAGGACGATAAGTACATAAATTACTCAGAGGTACACCTGAAACTAACATAGGACATTCATTGTATTTCAATTAAAAAAATAAGTTAGGAGCACCTGGGTGGCTCAGTTGTTAAGCGTCTGCCTTCGGCTCAGGTCATGATCCCAGGGTCCTGGGATCGAGCCCCGCATCGGGCTCCCTGCTGAGCAGGAAGCCTGCTTCTCCCTCTCCCACTCCCCCTGCTTGTGTTCCCTCTCTCGCTGTGTCTCTGTCTGTCAAATAAATAAATAAATAAATAAAATCTTTAAAAAAAAAATAAGAGAGGAAGGGAAGGCAAAAATGAAACCAAGTAAAATGAAGGGAAAAGATACAAATTCTGTGCCTTGGTGTGGAAATTAAATTTGAACAAGAATGCTGGAGCTCAGGGTGCCTGGCTGGCTCAGTCGGAGGAGCGTGGGACTCTTGATCTCGGGGTCGTGAGTCTGAGCCCCATGTTGGGTGTGGAGATTACTTAAAAGTAAAATCTTAAAAAAAGGAAAAGAATGCTGGAGATCATTACTTGGACCTATGCTATACACCAGAGGGCTATAAGACAAATCTGTCTCTACTTCTAATAAACATCTAGTCAATATATAAGATGCTAGTTCAGCTATAAAATATACCCTATTATATCCGATTCACTGTAATTCTCTGAACTTCTAGACTAGTTAGAGTCTCTTTTCCTGTTCTAGGTATAAGGTAACTCAGCTCAGTTACCTAGTGTCAACGCAACATCAAATATTAAGGCTGAGAGGGTGTTAAAGCTCTTCTAGCTTAATTCTATTATTTTGAGATGAAGGGGTTATCTGTCTTGTCCAACATCTACAGTTTGTTGCAGGTTCAAAAGCAGAACTTGGGTTTCTGTACTCCTGGTGAGGTGTCTAAAAGCTTTTCCTATCTTCCTGATGACTTTTTAAATCAAAAGGCATTTCTCTTATTTCCCTGTACAAGAGGAGGAGATTTATTTTGAACTGCTTTAAAGGGCCTAGTTAAAATGGAATGTAACATGCTGAATAAAAATACACCTTAATATACAGTCTGGTCTTGGGTGTCCTAGGTCAAAGGGATCATAGATTTAGGTCACTCACCACTAGAGGGCACTCAGATTTTCCCAGTTACAGAGGCTTCCAGATACAGCCTGTAAATGGAGTTTATCAACATGATGACGTTTTCTATCAATAGTAAAAGCTAAATGGCCATTTCCCCAGATAGGCTGATGTCTAATATATATATATATATATATATATGTATATGTATGTAGAAACACGTTATAATTAATATATATTTGTTATATTTGTTACTATTTTAGATTTAAGCCTGATGTTTTCCCAAAGGCCTCTCATTTATTGCTTTCAAGCAGATTTTTGAAGTAAAAATTAACTTAAAAGTCACCTTGCCTCCAGAGCACTCACGCAAAGCCCAGTGGGCCCCTGCCAAAATCCACAGGCCTACAGTATTTGAAGCAAATAATGTTTGTTGGGGGGGAGAGTGGTGCTTGCATACTTTGATTTAAAAGGGAGAAGAAAGAGAAGAAGAGAGCTTTCTCTGTTATAAAAGTAAATGAACACAAGCCAGGCAACTCTTTAACCCTCCAGTTTATCATCCTTGAAGGCCTTATTCTGATCATGTGAGGGATTTCTGGAGATTTAGACCTGGAGCCATGAAAATCCACTCTCTCTAGGAGGACCAAGCACTTTCTGGCTGTATTATTCAAATTCTGTAAAGGTCTAATCTATATACTTAAAAGAAGTTACATTATTCTAACAGTTATTATCAACTACGACCATAGCATTGGCCTGTCTGAAAAATATAAGAATCTTAATAAGAATCATCTTTGTGAAAAAGGACAGGGGTTTTTCTGCAAAGCTCCTGCACCTTGGACCATCTTGTCAGTTGTTAATGGATAATTAGCATTCTGGATTCTGGATTCTGCTGCACCGTTTTCCTGCCCCGTGGCACTTACCTGATCAGGACTACCCCTGTGCTTTGCCAAGTACTGAGGAAAACCTGGCTCACAGCTTTGAAAAAGGATACATCTAATTCACTCTGGAAAAGAGAAAAAAGTACAAGGATGAGAATGGGACACTGGGGCACATGTGCTTACCAGAGTTAGCAGCTGCTCTGGCCACAGGCTTGGGAGCAGGTCGGGGAGGCAGCTCTGTACATACAAGTCCAAGCAGGAAGGCCCTGAGCCTGGGACTGTGCTATCTATCTATCTATCTATCTATCTATCTATCTATCTATTTATTTATTTATCAGAGATTTATTTATGAGAGAGAGAGAGCATGCATGCACACACACGAGTAGGGGGGAGGAGTAGAGGGACAGAATTTCAAGCAGACTCTGCACTGAGCATGGAGCCTGATGCGAGCTTGATCTCACGACCCTGAGATCACGATCTGAGCTGAAACCAAGGGTTGGACACTGAACCCACTGTGCCACCCAGGCGCCCCCTGGACTGTGCTTCTTAAAAAAAATAGGCTGCAGTTTGGAGGAATTTTGCCAACCAGAACAATTCATCCTTAGAACATGGACGGAGTCGGGGCGCCTGGGTGGCTCAGTTGTTAAGTGTCTGCCTTTGGCTCAGGTCATGATCACAGGGTCCTGGGATCGAGCCCCACATCGGGCTCCCTGCTCTGCGGGAAGCCTGCTTCTCCCTCTCCCACTCCCCCTGCTTGTGTTCCCTCTCTCTGTCAAATAAATAAATACAATCTTTAAAAAAGAGAGAGAGAACATAGAGGGAATAGACAACCTCGACCTTTATAGATGATAGCTAGTTTGATATGTGTATCAAAAACCTTAATAATATGCATGCCCTTTGAATCCATCATTTTTACTTCTAGAAGTTTATCCTGAGGAAATAATTAGATAACAGGACAACAATGTGTGATAGGATGTTTAGGGTAATGTTTATAGTAGCAAATTACTGAAAACAAGCTAAGTATCTATCAAGGGGGGACTAGTTAAATATATTATTGCAGATCCACAAATGAGGCTATAGATATATAAGTACCGACATTGTTAAGTAAAAAAGCAAGTTGTAACACTGTATATACAGTACTATCCCATGGATACATGTATATGTAGAGACAGATACACAGTTAGATACAGTTATATAGTTAGATACAGACAGATACATAAAGTCTAAAAGGAAATGTACCTAATAGTATGTATCAGTAAGTCATGGGTTTACTCAAGATCTTCTCCCCTTTCTTTTTGCTTATATGTGTTTTCAATTTTTTTCAGTGATCAGAGATGTTTAGATCATAAAAAAAATCACAGAGGGAGAAATAGTAAACAGAGTTAAATTCACATCTGAAAGGACTTAAGGTTTGTCAAGTGCAGCAATGACGACCCTGATCCCCAATGACCACCCGATCCTCAACAGCAACCATCCTCTCTTGCCCCAGGGGAGCTAACCGGGTTGTTTTTTTTGTTTTGAAATGTGAGGCTGAGATGCTTCTTTCAGCCCAGACAGCATGAGACTGATCTCCAAATTTAAGATTTGGAAACCAAGATTAAAATAGTCTCAGCAAGAATGTTTAAAACTCACAAACCCCAAAATAAATGTTAGATGACAAGGCATTCTCCGAGTGGGGCAGATTCTATTTTCTTTACCATAGTACTCTCTTCCCTCCTTTGTCTCTTCTTTTTGCTACTGTCATCCTGAACTGAGCCATCTCACAGTACTGCTGGGAGTCCTGTGTCCAGTTTAAATTAAATTCTAATCTTTACTTCTGTGGTTCATGTGGTCACTGACTCTCTCCCCAGAATTACAGCAAGAATTCAGCAACGTGCTATTTATTCTCAGTCACCGAACATAATAATAATTTAAAAAACCTTAGCAATGATAGTGCTTGTACTCACTCATAATTGTTCCAGGTTTAAAATATTGCTTTTTTGGGAAATGTTATTCTTCTTGATAGGTGTTCCCTTAAAATGGCTAATCATGGCCAGCTCTGAATCACAGACCCTGACTTGCAAACCAGTCTGTCTTAAGAGAGTGGTCACTGCGATTAAGCAGGAACCAGAGCTGTGCTAATACGGTAACCACCAGCATCATTTGGCGAATCAAATGAATTAAGATTAAATTCCTCATTTCCTCCTTTATACTAATCACGTTTCCAGTTTTGAAAAGCCACATGTGGCTAGTGCCTCCTGCACTGGATGGCACAGGTACAGAACATTTCTGTTGTGGTGGAAAGTTCTACTGGACACTGCTGAGTTATGGCACTCTCTCCAAGCAATCAATACAAAGATGGAGTTTGAGGCCAGCCTTATTGTCCCCTGACAATAAGTGATTTCGTGGTGGCTATGAAATAGTCTAAAATGGACTTTGCTGATGGCTGCACAACTGTGTGTAAATACGAAAACCTATACGGGTTAAATGGGTGAGTTTCGGGGTATGTAAATTCTATTTCAATACAGCTGGGGTTTTTTGTTTTGTTTTGTTTTTTAAGAAAGGGGGCTGTTGGGAGGCATCTGGGTGGCTCAGTCGGTGAAGCGTCCAACTCTTGGTCTAGGTTCAGGTCATGATCTCAGGGTCATGAGATCGAGCCCCGTGTCAGGCTCTGCTCTCAGGGGGAGTCTGCTTGGGATTCTCTCTCTCCCCCTCTGCCCCTCTCCCCACTCTTGCACGCACACCCCCCTCTCTCTCAGAGAGATAAATAAAATCTTTAAAAAGGGGGCTGTTGGAAAGGAACTCATGTATTCCTTTGGTTTGGAGTTGGTTTTGACTATCAAAGCAAAAGTGTGGATGGAAATGATTCCTAAACTAAAAAGGTTCCTAGTGCCTTAGGAAGGGAAACAGAAAAGAGAGAGAGAGAGAGAGAGAGAGAGAGAGAGAGAGAGAGAGAGAGAAAGTTAAATAGCCAAGTCTCTTAATTAAAAGAAAAGGCGTAAGAGGTTCTTAGGCTTGTAGAACTGGTTCTTTATAAAGATCTAAAGCACACAGTGGTTTGTAACACTTTGGATGAACCAGAAGGAAAGGTAAAGAAAATGTGGCATCATCTGAGTTTTAACTTTTACATGGTAAAGCTCTATATGAACACTGGTTCTTGATATAGACCATTTCTGGGAAACTGGGAGAAGGACATAAACCATTTCTTAGTCATTAGACTTACCACTCGGCTGAAGTACTCATCTAACACTTCCACAAAGTTATGGATGAATTCATAAATGGCCATCTCATTCTGAAATAAAAAAGGGTACAATTAGTTTTAGTATGGCCCATGTATAAATTAGACACTGACAAATATTCAGAATAGTTCTACGACTCACTTGTTTGAAAGAAGCTTACCCATAGAGGGAAAATCGAAAACCTTCACCTCTAAGACTCTAAGTCCTTAATGAACTTAGGGGAAGGAAACCAGATCGAGTCTCATGTTTAGGGTTTTTGAGTTCTGCTCCCTGAATTTATCATCACTGGCTGAAACAGTGTTTCAGGTTCCTCATGCCACCAATTTTCCATTTGGGAAGATGGGAAACTACCTCTAGGTTTGGTTCACAGATAAAAAACAATCAACTGAAATTCTGAAGTATCTTAAATCTTAAATGCTTTTCATGGATTCAATAGCCTTAGGTTCTGTTGACCTGGGACTGACGTTTCTGGAAAGGTGAACTAAATCTGAGGAAATTCAGTCACAACACAATCATATTTATAGTTTGCTATGGCTTCTGATCTGTCAGCCTATATTTCATGCCACAACTGAATGGCCTCTACACCTGTCTAAGCTGCCACACTGGGCCACACAGAACAAGGGCAGGACACTGGTATTGCCTAGGGTCGAGGAAAGCATTCTGTCTGTGGTTTGGTGCTTCCCCATATGCCACTCATTGAATCCAAGAGAAATCCTAGATATTTTTCTTCCACACAGCTTTCCCTAGCCTTGATAGAGAAACGATCCTTTAGGAGTCAAGATAATTCTTAGATAGGCAAGTAGAGAAGAAAATGTCAATTTAAGGAGGAATAAAAATCAGACTGTCGGGGCCCCTGGGTGGCTCAGTCGGTTGAGCGTCTGACTTCGGCTCAGGTCATGATTTCAGGGTCCTGGGATTGAGCCCTGCATTGGGCTCCCTGCTCAGCGGGAAGCCTGCTTCTCCCTCTGCCTGCCGCTCCCCCTGCTTGTGCTCTCTTCCACTCTCTCTCTCTCTGTCAGATAAATAAAATCTTTAAAAATTAAAAAAAAAATCAGGCTGTTATTCCTAATTTTCTTGCATTTTCCATAGGCTCCTCTGTTACCGTACCTCAGTGTCATTAACTCCAACCACAATGAGGAGAGCTGCATACCGCCGACATATCAGCTTAAAATCCTTAAATTCAATGAAAGAACACTAGAAAAAACACAATTAGATATTAATTCCTATGGTTGCCATGGATTTCTTCAAAAGGGCCTGCATAATTTCTAAGTTCTGATTTCTGTATCGGTCAACACATTCCCAGAAATATGCAATATTAAAATGTTACACAATCTTGGTTGGTTGCCTGTTGGTTGCCGCCTCACAGTATTCGGGGACTACATGGAAGCATCTCTAGTGGGAGGCAGAGAAGGGGTCTAGGAAAAAAGGCTTGGAGCATCCACGTGGGTTCCCACCTGTACTCCTTCTCATTCCTTTGCTTTGCTCTGTGTGAAAATCAGCAGGCAAAGGTACTGAATAATTTTAAACTGCCTCCAACATGAAAATAAGCCAACGTGACAAAGAAGATTTTCTTCTCTGGGCATCTGGGTGGCTGTCATTAAGCTTCTGCCTTCGGTTCAGGTCATGGTCCCAGGGTCCTGGGATCGAGCCCCGCATCAGGCTCCCTGCGCCGCGGGAAGCCTGCTTCTCCCTCTCCCACTCCCCCTGCTTGTGTTCCCTCTCTCGCTGTGTCTCTCTCTGTCAAATAAATAAAATCTTTAAAATAAAATAAAATGAGGATAAAGGTAAGAAGTGCAGTACCACTCTGCATTTTTGGCTCACTGTAGAGCCAGTGTGATTTCTGCTCAGCTGGATCTTTCAAGGAAACACAACCTATCTGAAAGAACTAAAGAACATTTTTTCAAAGCCTCTCAGGACCAAAAAAAAAAAAAAAAAAAGTAGCAAGCACTTTTGTGGATAAAATAAAAACTAAGCTGAGATTGTGTTACTTCAGCGCCTAATTATCCAAAAGCCCAGTGGATTCCTTTTAAAATCTAAAATAATTAAGGGGGCACCTGGGTGGCTCAGTCAGTTAAGCGTCTGCCTTTAGCTCAGGTCATGATCCCAGGGTCCTGGGATAGAGCCCCTTGTTAAGGCTCCCTGCTCAGGGACGCCTGTGTGCCTCAGTCGTTAAGAGTCTGCCTTCGGCTCAGGTCATGACCTCAGGGTCCTGGGATGGAGTCCCGCATCGGGCTCCTTGCTCAGTGAGGAGCTTGCTTCTCCCTCTCCCTCTGCTGCTCCCCCTGCTTGTGCTCGCTCTCTCTCTTTCTCTGTCTCTGACAAATGAATACAAATCGTTAAAAAAAAGAAAAATGCATTTATAAAAAAAAAAAGCTCCCTGCTCAGTGGGGAGTCTGCTTCTCCCTCTCCCTCCCCTCTGCCTGCCCCTCCCCCTCAGCTCATGCTCTCTCTCTTTCGCTTTCTCTCTCTCAATAAATAAAATCTTTAAAAAAAAGAATTCAGAATGCTTCAAAAATATCTAGTAATATATTTGTTCCAAAGCATATATTTCAAAGGGTAACGTATCGTGAAGATGGTGTTTGAAACTGTGCAGTGCCTGCCTTCTGCAGAAAGATTCAAGAAGAACACTTCTGGAGGTTATCTTTATTTAAAGTATGTGACTATTAACACAGCCCTTTAATAGTTCCTGTTTCCCTTTGACAACTACATGAAGCAATGTGTGCCATGGCAGGCCAAAGTAGTAATTCAAAGAGGACTCTGAGATGTTGAGACTGGAAAATCAATTTAGAAGCCAAGGGAAACATAGTTCCAACATGTAACTTCTGAGCACGGGTGTACTTTAATATTTTAAGACCTAGCAGTGGTTCCCACAGCCTTTCTACATATGCTGTGAAATGGAGAACTGGCAAAATTAATGGGTGATTTAAACAATCGTTCTGATTTTGCTGCAGTTTGTTCAGTGATCTCCAATAGACTCAAAGTTTAGAACCCTGATTAAGTAATTCTCCAATTAAACCTCTTTGTAAAAAATAGACTCAGTTCCTAAAATTCTTATTTGTTATGATTTTAATGATTTTGTTTAACCTCAATTTTGACAGAATGTGTAGATTTGTTGTGTCATATGAATTTTTAACTTCTGCTTACCCCATCTACATCATAAAACAAGACAAGTTCAAATAAAATTTGTTTTGTTTTTTAAATCACTAGTTCTAGGATTATATTGGTGTTAAGTTTACAAAAATGATAAGCAGAAAAAAAACTATGCTCTACATGAGAATCATGCTAGTATTCTCTGGCACAAAGTGGGTCTCCAGTGTTCACCTCTATACCAATCATCTGACCTTAATCTCTTGGCTTAAAGCGAGCCACCTGCTGCGGGCACCCCTAAGAGTTGTACAGGCTAAATTCATATGGACAAAAAAAGAAGGTATGTCTATTAGCTGGAATAAATTTGAGAACAAATATGCTGACCTAAATAAGAACTCAAGGCTTTTCCTGGTTTTCCTTGTTGGTATTTTCCTTAAGGGGATATAAAGCGAGCGAGCTATGCTTCAGTCTTCATTCACTTCATTTGTTATTTTCCCTAATAGCTGTTGAAAGAATGTAGTTCAAAGAACTTGATGGCCCTTGAGACTCAGTAGTAACAGATCTGCCACTGCCTAGTTGAATGAGGAGATAAAAGAGAGAACCAGAAACTTACTTGTTCATTGGATCGGGAGAGACAGCTCTTTATGACTTCCGTTTCCAGAACTGTACGCTTATTGATCTCCACATGTTCATAGTATTTAGCAAGTCGGGTCTGTCCTTGTTTATTCACCATGAGGAAAAATTTTATCATTTTTTTTCTGGGCAATATTTTTCCAGATAGTTCAAAAGTTATGTCAAAGGGTGCCTGTGATGAGAACCTGAAGGATGAAAGAACAACAAAAAACTAAAATCAAACATCTCAAAGAATAATATTAGATGTGTTCTATAGATGAACCAGAAGTAAATAAAATGTGATCTGATAATACTGGTCTTCACTCCTATGAATTAAATGAGGTTTTAATAAATAACTAAACATTGGGATGCCTGGGTGGCTCAGTCGGTTAAGTGTCTGCCTTCAGCTCAGGTCATGATCCCAGGGTCCTGGGATCGAGCCCCATGTGGGGCTCCCTACTCAGCGGGAAGCCTGCTTCTCCTTCTCCCTCTGCCTGCCACTCCCCCTGCTTATGCTCTCTCTCTCTCTCCCTCTGTCAAATAAGCAAATCAAATCTATAAAAAAAAACTAAACATAAATTTTCATTAGTTATCTTCCAAAACTTTTTTTTTAAAGTAGGCTCCATGCCCAGCACAGAGCCTAATGTGGGGCTTGAACTCATGATCCTGGGATCAAGACCTGGGCTGAAGGCAGACGATTAACCAACTGAGCCACCCAGGAACCCCTCTTAAATGAACTTTTAAAATATGGAATAATTTTACAGAAATGTTGCAACAGATTATGGGATAATTCTTGGACTACATTTTGTATTATTCTTTGCCCTCCCAGTTCATCTCTTATTTCCTAAACCGTATCAGACAGGTGGTTATCTCACAATAATTCCAAACATGAAGAGCTGGAAAGAGCCAGGCCCAGGCTGGTAAAGCCTGGGCCGCCGTGATCATCCAGGGCACAGGACAGGATGTTATGTAGACCAGCTCAGCCGGGGACAGGGCAGCTGTGCCATGGGGGAGGCCTGTGGTCATTCACTCCCTTTTCCAGGAAGATAAGCTCACTACTGTAGGTGGGATTGCAACATACTCTGTTTAGTCATTTGGTATTAAGTGCTGCTTTTATTCTCCTTACAAATTACTGCCAGTAAATTATGGCTGGAGACCAGTAAATTAAGTTACCATCCATTCTTTTATTCCCTTTTAGCAAAGATATTTTAAAACGATCTTCACAAAAGTTAGAAATTACAATCTTATACTCTGGATTCCAACTGCCAGCTAGAAGAAAGAGATACTGTCTTGGGCGCCTGGGTGGCTCAGTCGGTTGAGTGTCCGACTCCTGGTTTCGGCTCAGGTCATGATCTCAGGGTCCTGGGATCGAGCCCTGTCGGTGTTCGCTGCTCAGAGGGGAGCCGGCTTGTCTCCTTTTCCCTCTGCCCCTCCTACTCCTCGCTCTCTCTCCCTCTCTCTCAAATGAATAAATCTTTAAAAAAAAGAAAAAGATATTGTCTCAAAGGTATTCATGGCCAAACCTTTGCCTTTAAATGCCCTGGCTGCATTAAGTTTACGGTAAAATGAGATGTAAAATGATCCCATTGAGATGTTACACCAACGGATCAAATTGGTTTCCACCTTAACAAGCACAGCATTCCTTCCCACTGACTTCAGGAGCAAGGATGACAAACAAGGGCATGTTGAATTGATACTCATTAGGATGCAAGCCTTGAAAATAGTAGCTGAAGGCATCTATAAAGGCTCAAATACATCATCTTTGTTTTGCATGCTCATAAACAATTACACAATTTGTAACTGTAGGATTACACAGTGGTAATAAAGTGGACAAGTAAAATTGTAAACTCTATTATAAAATACACAAAGCCGAAATATACAATGTAGAGACTCAGAGACAAGTACATGTTTGAGAACAGAAGATGAATGCTTTAAGCACCAATCCTGGTTACTAATCATCAGGGAGGAGAGAAATCAAATAATTATGAAACTGAGGTAGGGTAATAAGGAAAGAATATGCCTAGACAAGTGCTGGGAGTGGCCAGGGAGCAGGTATGAACTTCCTTTGTTTACAAAACTCTTTGCATTCAAGGACACACAAGGCTGGGGAAGATGTTTTGATTGCCAGGACCTGAAGGACTCCACACCCAAGAGACTGTGTGAATCAAGGACAGAAAAAGAAGGGAAATTTCACTGGGGAAAGCCTTACACAAAGGATGCCAGGATGCCCAAAGGCCAAGATGAGGGAGTTTGGTATAGTCATAGTAGAATATGAGCAGATCAATGTCCCAGGACCCTATGTGATACAAACTAAATGCCTAGAGAAAAGAGAGACTTAGAACAATTGAAATGCATACTGAATTGGGTATAGTTTTCATATTTCTGATGGTGTATTCTGAAACTGTCATCCAAAGATGACAAATAGATTTTAACTTGGGTGCCAACTGTGACTAACTGTATTTGCTGCTTTGAGCACCGTGTTGGGAAGGATTCTGGAACCGTTCAGATTCAAATGGATGCTATGAACGATTAGTATGTCAGGTGCAGGTTAGGAAGCAGGGTGTGGCAACATATGCACTGTATATCTGTCATCCCTGATGTGCACTCCCTTCATTTTGCAGATGGAAAAATGGATAATCTGAGATGTAGAGTGAAGTCTTGGATTCTGGCCCCCTGACTCATAATCTGATGCTGTCTTTAATTTATCACATTGCCTCTTTGCCTCACTCAGTGTATTAGTGTCATCAGATGTTCATTTAAGCTTACCAAGCATCAACTTCAGGTAGCTTTGGGAACGATCAAGTCAATATTCTCTAATGCTGCTGAACATTTAATTTGGAAAATACCAAACAATACAACGCATGAAAACAGTAGAGTATGAAGTTTCTAGCAATCAAAGTGGTATTTGATGATGACGAATATCCTTTCTAGCTCTAAAGGCTTTTTATGTACCTCAGAATCAGATTACTGTAAGACACACACACGTAATATTAGACAAACACATTTTTGGCCCCATAAAATTGATTGAAATAAAATCCTCCAAGTTAAAAAGCAAATTTCCTCCAGGGAAACATAAAGTCCTTATAACAGTATAATAGTCAAAAGCATGAACTGGGGCTTGACTGTTAATTTTGTGATCCTTGGCAAGTTACTTAACTTTTAGTACTCAGTCAAAGGTACAATGGGAATAATAATAGATAGTACTTACCTTCTGGGTTGTAAGGATTAGAGGAGTTAGTATATGTAATGTTCTTAGAACTGGGTTTGGCAGTTGGCACATAGTGAGGGCTACACAAGTACTGGTGAAAATCATTATGATAATATATCACTTTTTCTTCAGTGAAGTCTGCCTATCCCAGTCCCTTATTGCTAATCATAAAGAGCTAGCTACTATCCTTTCTTTTTTAAAAAATATTTTATTTATTGGGCGCCTGGGTGGCTCAGTTGGTTAGGCGACTGCCTTCAGCTCAGGTCATCTGAGCTACCCAGGCACCCCGCTAGCTATCCTTCTTTGAACCCATTACTGTATCTTACAAAACTTGTCACCCTATGTAATCATTATTTGATTACATACTAAGCTCTCCTACAAGACCAGTGATTTTTACTTTATTGTGACAATTTTATTGTGACCCAGCATTCAGGTACATATATATCTGATTCAGTTATATATGATGATCACCAAACAATACCTACCCATACTGTGTGTATTGTACTCTGGTGATTTTTGTGACATTTTATAAAAAATGTAGTTGTGAGGTGTTTGGGTTACATAGATATATGGATTTTTCTTTTCTTTTTTTAAGATTTTATTTATTTGAGAGAGAGCACACAAGTACGAGCGGTGAGGGCGGGGGTGCAGAGGAAGAAAGAGAAGCAGACTCCCTGCTGAACGGGGAACCCAACGCGGGGCTTGATCCCAGGATCCTGAGCCGAAAGCAGATGCTTAACGGACTGAGCCCCAACACACAAAAGGCACATACTATCAACATGATATATCACTGTTGAAACTGAACTTGATCATCTGGCTGAGACAGTTTTTGTTAGGTTTCTGTACCGTAAAGTTATCCTTCCCCTTTTTATACCATACTCTTTAGAGGGAAGTCATTATATGTAGCCCACATTTAAGGGGTGGGAAGTTATGTTCCATCTCCTTGAGGGAGAAGTACCTATGTAAATTATTTGGAATTCTACTGTGCAGGTGATCTGTCTACTGTACCCTATTATTTATTTACTCAATCACTTATTTCTATCAGTAGGGACTCATGGATATTTTATTTTATACCTTAGGTTATAATACAATATGATCCAATGATTTTTAATTTCAGAAACCACTAAAGAACTGTGGCCCAGAGTTTGAAAAACACTATATTAGAACATGAACTTGTGAGTAGGGTTCCTATCTTATTTCAGATCTTTGCACAGTGCCTAGTGTAAGAGAATATCCAATAAGTGTTTGTTGAACGAATGAAATAATGAAGACTTTTTTAAAGTGATAATTTTTCCTTAAAAAAATCACATCACGGGGCATCTGGGTGGCTCAGTCGTTAAGTGTCTGCCTTCGGCTCCGGTCATGATTCCAGGGTTCTGGGATCGAGCCCCACGTCGGGCTCCCCTGCTCTGCGGGAAGCCTGCTTCTCCCTTTCCCACTCCCCCTGCTTGTGTTCCCTCTCTCGCTGTCTCTTTCCCTCTGTCAAAATAAATAAATAAAATCTTTTAAAAAAATCACATCAGTATTCAAACAAAGCCGACCCATAAAGTACCCTGGTACCCCAACTCCTGCCCCAAAGCCTGTCAGTCTTCTCAAAGGTAAAACCAATGTTTTTAAGTTTAGTGCATATTCTTCTAGACTTTCTATACATTTACACGTAAATATGCATGCATTTGTAGCAACTTTATTTTTTAAACCTAAATGTGATCAACTCTAAAATGCCAAGTGACTAGCCTGGTGTTTATTCTCTTCTGGTACCTTTGAATGAACCAGGTGCACTCACAAAGCCCTGGCTGGATCCTATAAAAGGGCACTGAAGTGATGTGTTTTGGAATTCATCAGGAGCGTTTCCTGTTGACTCAGTCTAGTTCAGACTTTCCTGGTTTTTGTCCCCTTGATCCAGGGCCTTGGCTCCCATTCTTTCTCTGGCCTTAGTTCTTAGTGGCCTGGCTTGGATTTCTGCAATGTTCCAGGACTTGACCTTTGGTATTTGCCCTC